TTTGTCGCAAGACGAGCTTGACGGAGAGTTGTACAATCAGCATCATATAGCTTCACTCCGCTCCGCTCCCCGGCCATTTTGTTCAAGTTTTCTGTGTCATATATCGTAATTTGTTGTCTTCGATTGATTATTTAGGTATAGTTTGTGATTCTGAATTATCCCGTGGTATATGTGAAATATTTTTTGCAGTAATTCTCTCGTTCTGGTCTGCCTTGATTCTCGTCCGTGCTGTTCGTGTTTTGCTCGTTCATAGTGAGGCCAGTCTCTCCTCTTCTTTTCATAGTTAAAGTCGTCTTATGCTCTAGTTGTCTTAATTCACTCAAGTTAATTATTTGGCATTAGTACTTCATAAATACCTGTACTAGTTTATCATAACTTCTGTGCTTCTTCAATTCGCTGATTTTATTGTATCGAACTGTAGCTATTTTTGAAATGGCGAAGCAGTCACTTTGGGGTATTTGCTGAAAAGTCGTTGGACATCGGGCATGTGCGTTTACATGCAGTCTATGTAGTGTAAAGTGTCACATTTCGTGCATTGGTCTGACTGTAGACCAATTTCGTGCAATGCAGGGAATTCAACATGATTTTGTGAACACCATTTGTAAACAATGCCAGTCTAAACTTTGGCAGAATAGAAACGAAGAGCCTAACAAGCGCATCAGTATAGCAATGTGTTCTAACACGCCCAGCTCAATTTGTACTACACCACAGTCAGGTAAACAGCCAGCACTTAGTTAAACATCGCATCCATCCCTGAAGCAAAGTATTATCGCCTCGGCAGGCTCTCCCTTAAGGCCTACGATTGCTTCTGTTTACAGTAAATCTTTAATTTGCAGTAGGCAAATTGATGATAACCAGTGGAACGCGTGAACACCAATGCAACCAAGAGCAATGTCTAGCGACCTGAGGCACCAGAGCCTCATGGTCTTTAACGCTCCCGAATCATTTGCTTCCACCCCTCAGATGCGCTATGAACAGGACGTCGAGATTTGGCAATCTCTGATTGATAGACTGCTTGACGTAGATGAGGGCGGGCTCAAAGTGAAACAGCTTGCTCATCTAAGAAAGAGAATCGAGGGCAAAAGTCGACCTGTGTGGGTGAGTTTTTCGAGGAGGCAAGTCCTAAATTACTATTGTCTCGTCTTCATAGACTGAAAGGCCTAAAAATCTTCATGCACGCTGACTTAGACCCAGCAGAACGAGAGAACCTCAAGGCTGCGATGATTAAACTAAAGCTAAGCAAGGACCATGGAGAAACAAATCTCTGCATTGTAAATTTTCGGGTAGTTTCTCTGATTCCTCCGCGAAACTGGATCAACAGTTTTCTGATAATTCAGGCTCGTCCAGCGGTTCCTACCGCGGTCTGCGCGTAGCCTTTATTAACGTCTGCAATCTGATGATCAAGCGTGATGTGCTATACCACTTTGTAAACTCTCAGAGACCAGACGTATTAGGCCTTGCTGAGACATGGTTAAACTCCGACATTACCGCCCAAGAAGTGGAAATCAGCGGCTACTCATGTTTCCGCTGTGATAGACCAACAAAAGTTCGCGGTGGCGTTCTACTTTACATAAATTCTTCCTTGTGTGGTAGACTAGTGAGCGCCCATCAAAGCGCTGATGGTCTATGTGGGCAGTTATGGTGTTCGATTCACCTCCGACATTGCGAGTTACTCGTGGGCGTGGTATACCACAGTCCACTGAGCCGCTATTTGGACTGGTTGCCGCAGGTGCACAACCACATGAGTCGTCAAATGTTTCTACTCATGGGTGATTTCGACTTACCCCGAATACAGTGGCCTGAGGCTGAACTTCTCCCCGGCCACTGTGAAGCCGAGATGAAGTTTACCGTGTTGATATTTGAAACCGGGGCCACACAGCACATCAACCAACAGATACGCATAACTGCGCGAGCGACTCCATTGTGCTTAGATATGATTTTGACTAGTTGTGAGCAACGTGCGCATGACATTCAATTCTTTGAGCCTCTTGGAGCCAGTGACCACTCGATGATCATAGCCAGATTGGGACTACTGCTGCCGTATTCTCCCCCACTGGAGCCAGCCTACACTTATTGGAAGGAGGACTTTAATGGCCTCATTCGAGCAGCTAGCCAGATAGACTGGTCTTTATCACAGGATTCGTCTATTGAAACCTGTTGGACTATCATTACAAAGGGAGTGAAATCGTGGTGCGCCCGATTCGTACCCCCCCCAAATATCGGGAAGTTGGGCCAGTCAAACCACATCGGTTCGACAAAGAGTACTGCAAACTGGCCCAACGACGACGCAGACTATGGAACAAATTCGTGTTATCTGGCTCTGATGAGAACTACAAGACGTACAAGGTGCAACGAAATAGCTGCAACAACGCGAAAACAAGAAAACGCAAAAGCTTTGAAGAGGGACTTGCAGCCGCCACAAAAACTGCTCCCAAGGGAATCCTCGCATACGTGAAGCGGCGTCTGAGGCCTACATCCAATGTCCCAGTATTAGAGGGCTCCGATAGACAGCACCTAACCTCGAGTACAGATTGTGCATTCGCTTTGGCGCCGCACTTGGCCTCTGTATTTGCAAGTGACCAGGTGTCTGTAACGGGTTGGACGAGTACCGCTCCCGCTGAACTTTACAGCCAAGACTGCAGTATTGAAGATGTACGCAAGCTTCTAGCAAATCTTGATGGGAAGAAGCCTGCCGGGCCAGATAGAATCCACTCAATGATCCCCAAGTCCCGATCGCCCGTCATCACGCCTTCGGTAACTGAGCTGTTCAACAGGTCACTATCCACTGGACTAGTACCAAGCGACTAGAAATGCTCAGTTTTAAAGGTAATAACGAAAAGTGGTAACCCAAGCAAAGTGGATAACAACCGGCCCATCTGCCTGACCACTGTATTGGCAAAGACGCTTGAGAAGATCGTGAAGAAGAGTCTTCTGCAGCTTCTCGAGTCAAAAAGCCTCTTGACGCTTGCACAGCGTGGGTTCGTGAAAGGTCGCTGGTGCATCGCCAAACTACTGCTGACGAGGCACTAATGGTTACAAGCGCTGAACCAACGCCAATCGGTTGACGTAATTTACATTGACTTCAGTAAGTCTTTTGACAAGGTACCTCATGCAGTACTCCTCGACAGGCTGAGGATGTGCGGTGTTGGTGCTTCCCTATACCAATGGATCAGGAATTTTCTTCTGGATCGAAACTAGAGGGTGCAGATTGACAACCACTTAACCAACTGGTACCCATCGAGCAGCCGCGTGCTTGGGCCGATTTTGTTTCTCATCCATGTAAACGATGTATCTCAGCTACTCCAATCACCCTGTGCATTGTTCGCAGATGACTTGAACGTGTGGAGAGTAATCCGAACACCCAATGATTGTGATTTGCTTCAGCAGGACTTCGACCGCTTCTCCAAGTGGTCAGCAGAAGTCAACCTTCCGACCAACCCGGTCAAGTCGCAGTTGATGAGACTGGGTAAATGTGAACACGGTCGAACATATACCGTGGCTGGTCAAACGTTGCATCCCGGGTCTTCCGTGCGCAACCTCGGTGTACTCTCACGCTGCGACCTAAATTCCATGGACAATACGAATAAGATTTACCGAAAGAGCGTTCGTATGCTTTGGGCGCTCAGGCGCAGCTTCAACACTTAGTCCGAAGAGATTGCCACTGGCCTCTTCTCAATAATACGACCAAAGCTAGAGTATGGCTCTCCAGTTTATTGTACTATCACCCGGGGTGAGGTAGAAAAGCTTGAGCGAGTGCAGCATGTAGCCATCAGTCTGATTCCTAACTTACGTGGTGTGCCGTACGAAGACCGGTGTACGAGACTAGGCTTGTACACCCTAACTTATCGTCGAATGAAGGTTGACCTCATCATGACTCACCGGATATTACATCGGGGTGATTACCCTATGCTGAGACCACTGCTTTATCTGCGCAAACCAAGCAGCACACAAGGACACAGGTATAAGCTTGTCGTACCGGATGTGAAGCTGGTCGCCCATCAACTCTGTTTCGAACGCAGAATGGTAAAAGTATGGAATGGCCTGAAGCAGCAAGTAGTTGAGGCAAAGTCGGTGTGGGAATTTAAGAAGTTCCTGGACAAGCACTTTGCCGACGCAAAATATATTGAGCGCAACACTACACAAGGGGTATTCGTCCATGAGTGACGAATGATGCAGCTACACAGAGCAAACTCTGATTGCTGCTTCTAACCAGTATTCAGTATTCTAACATAAGAAAGAGTAATCTGTTTCGCAATTGGAATATGATGAAGATATTTTGGCGTAGTAGTTAATTGATAATAGTAAATTTTTCTAGTATCAGCTGAAATGTAGCATGTCATTTGCTTTGATGTAGTACATGCTTTAGCTAAACTACAAACCTTACTTTAAATTATGCTTTAATTTTTAAATAGTTTTGTTATAAACAAGCTTGGATGGTACTAGAGGTTGGTCGCATACATATTAAATTACCGAGCGACGGAGACGAACTGCTCCTTATGGTACATAAAAGAGGACTGAACGCTAAAAAAGACCAATAACTCCGCACATATGTACATGAATTTTAGCTTATCGTTCGTCATAATACACTATAAAAATGGTTGAAAATAAAGAGCAAACTAAATAATAGTAGAGAAACTGAAACCAATAAATACTACTGGGTTGATTACGCAACATTTCAGAGCGTTGCTGTCTGGCTTATGCTCTGACAAAGATTAAAAGACTACATATGCAAATGTTTTTGTCGTTGGGTAAGGAAACGAAACGAAGCCATGATGCAGCTTTTTATCACTTGGCGAAGATTGCACACTAAAAATACACCTCATTTACTGCACGTGCATGCCAAGCAGATAAGAAGACTTTAGGTATTTTAATGTATATCCCTGTAAAATTTCTAATGTGATGTGCCTGCTTACAATAATAAAAGCCTTAGTTACTTCTAATCAATTTGGTAGGATAGAAAGTGACATTTTTTCCCGCCTGGATACTCCAGACTCGCTTACATCTATGTAACACTCCACTCTTGTTCCGTTGAACTCCGACTCCAGTCCGCCGGGGATTCGAAGACGAGCTCTGTTGTCTCCAATCTGGTCAACCTCGAAACGAATGCGAGGATCATGCACGCGGAATCGGGGAGAAATGTAAGCTGGTCGACCACTTTCATCCGAAACGAAGCATTCCAACTCAATGGGTTGGTTTGTCCGGACTTTAATGATGGATGGGGTAATAGTCACGCGGTAAGATGGTGCACTTCCTGAGTGAAAGGAAAATAAAACGCAGGGATATTTTAGTCTCAAATGCTTATATTAAGGACGGTCCGTTAGGAGTTCCTCATACTATATGAGCAATCCCGTGCAATAACTTACGAACATACAACTTTCCAATGACTTCTGCGTTCTGTGAAGGCAGCCGGCAGATGTATTCCCCTTCATCCGACTTAAGAGCGTGCGCTTTACTGATGAAGCTTGTGTGCGAGGCATATATGTCATCTTGGCGAATAAAACCATTTGGGTCGTTCAAGTTCAAAGGAATCATTGAACCGCCATAAAATGGGCGGTAAAACCACTGCATTTCGCTGTTAACGTTGTCGTTTGCTCCGTGTGCACGACAGTGGAATTCTACTGGTGATCCTTCTTCCACAGTGTCCGATTCCGGATTTATCTCCAAACCTTTACCAGCTGGGAAGTAAAACAGAACAAATTAATATAGGAGCAGACCTGCAGATTACAGAACATAGTTAAGACGAGTAACATATGACATACTATAATTCCTTTACTTTATTTAAGGCCATACTTAGTGAACAGTATGTTTTCGTAACCGCAGTTTAATAAGTTTCTTTAGTATTTTTATAATATTAATCAAAATAAGTATATTTCGCGAATATACCAGAGACTGTCTTAGAAATAAACCGATTGTTAGTACAATAAAAATCATAACCTTACATGAAGTAGAAATGCGTTTAATAGCTTACGTGTTATTTAAGATTTCTGTAAATAATTTGTCATGTTTATTGCAGTGAATTTCAAGACATCCTTTCCAAATTGCTAGATATAATTTTGTCTAGTTCAGACGAACGCAGTTATTCATTTGACTTTTAAAAAAATTAGTCTCTCGAGTTTTACATAGGATATTTCCACGTTTTTGTGGAAATGGTTTCGTTTTTTAAAATTTCTGGTGGTGGCTGCTAGGCTAGTCCACATAAAGGCGCATTTCACGAGGATGGAGTTGGTACGAATAGCTGTCATGATTCCTCGCAACTCGGGTGAAACTTTTGGTTGCGGATATTTCGACTGTTGTTGTACTGTAGTTCTAAACTTAGGATATATTATTCTTTACTGAGATTGCCAAAAGCCACTTGTTGTTTTAATTGCCGCAATCCAAGAGACTCAATATAATGCTCTTAGTACCGCTCTTGATGGCTCAAGGAGGATGACTGCCTAAACCAACTTTCGGCGAATTTTCAGAGAATTACGAAATGCAATTGTGTGTTGTCTAATACTGCAGCGGTATACAATTATGAAATGGTTGCGTATTTTGAAAAACGGCTTTCAGTAATTGTATGCAATTTAAGTCACTCGTAACTCATAGATCCTTTAGTACAAGCTATTGGGTATGTGGTTTAATTTGAAGAGTTACAGTTTGATTCACTTAGATACCTTAGTTACTGTGCCTAACTATTTCTTCTTAAACCAAAAATTCTCAGAGCCTGAAGCCTCGTCTACTAACAAATAGCTACAGAAAACATATATAAAAACACATCTCGAGTGAGTCGATATCCTCTTTGACGAGTAACATTTTGCTTTGATGTATATATCTCGGACATCTATAGACAATTCTAATGTTGTTGACAAGCAGAATTGAGCTATCACGTTTGATGAATACATTGATGTCATTGAAATAGTTTAGGAGAGGGCTCAGCACGTTTTATTGGGTGACGTCACTAGTAGTTAAGCATGGAGATGTGAAGTGGTCACCCTTATGACTAAGTCGGAACGCCAATCCAAGTACGAGGTCAGCCAACCCAGTATTGGGTCTCCTATCGCTAAAGGACCCACATATTTTAACAGTTCCTTGTAAGACACCCGATCAGTTGCGTACACGGGAATCAAACAATAGCAGCATAACGGTAGTAAATAAAGTTTTTCTTTATATAATTGTGGTAATAAAACTAACAGGTTGAACAGGAATGTTTTTCAAGATACACATGGTGGGACTTGTTAAGTAGTCCAATTTGATAAATAAAGTTGCAGGATTAAATTTATTAATTATTTCGAGCAATCTATAGATTAGGGGAGTGTGATATTGGGCCTATAAATAACGACATTATGTATGGGGACCCGTTATCACAAGAGTAATTAAATGATATTTCTTCTTGATCCCTTAATTGGACAACTCATTTAATGGCGGATGGAGGATTCAATCGGAATCCTGTTTGAAGAATGTTTCGCTGCAGCTGATGAACATCTATGTGATGGAAATCGAAAACTTGACATTGCATATCACACTAGCTCTTAAAAGTTACTGACAGATTGATATGTGTTTAGTCTCTATTTCCATTGGGGTAGCAAGACAAGAACTAAATGTTTCACAAATAGTAGCTGCGTCATTAAAGCAGCGACGATCCTGGTTACACATACCTCTGAGGGAAGACGCGCGATCGTTAGTTATATTACGTAGTACTTTTATCAGTTCATTTTCTTTGTATACCATTCTTACGGCATTTAATTGTTTTTACTCCGTTTCTCTCATAAACGCTTGAAGAAAGTGATAGATTTGTGTACTTATATTATAATATAATATAACATATGATATAATATATACATATAATATATATAATATATATAATCATATATAATGTAATATATAATATAATATAATATTATAATATAATATGCTAAGTACTTCTCCAAGATTGGCAGGGACCCAACCCTGCGCTAACGCTTGGTGGTGATCTGCTAGAAGTCGTTCAGGAATTTAAGTACATGGGCAGCTATATTAACACCCGTGGGATTGAAGATGAGGTTACGAAGCGTATAGCAAAGGCTCGAGGTGCTTTTGCCAATCTCCGCCACCTGTGGCGCAGACTCGACATTACTCTCGCCCTCAAGGGCAGAGTTTACAACGCAGCCGTCCGTTCAACTCTCCTAAATGGCTGTGAAACCTGGCTCATCAGGTCGACAGACATGTAGAGACTCGTCACGTTCGATCATCGCTGCCTTCGCAGCTTAGCTCATGTCTGGTGGGAACACCGCGTGAGCAATGAGCGTGTTCGACGTCGCGTATTTGGTGCAGGAAGAGCGAGTGAACCGCTCAGCACCATTATATCACGCACCAGGCTCCGATGGCTGGGCCACGTGTTGCACATGCCAGCACACCGACTCCCACGACGTGCATTGTATGCGCGTTGTGGGTGCGGTTGGAAGAGGAGGAGGGGAGGCCAAGTGATGACGTGGTCGAGAGAAATGAAAACCCTCACTTCGAAGTTGGCGTCGGTAGGTGCATCCCAACTGCCTGGCTGGGGTCCTAAGGACGGTGAACACGTTTGGTTGGACACACTTGCTGATATGGCTAGGAGCCGGGCCCAATGGCGTTTGTGTTGTGAGTTCCTTTGTCCATCCTCTTCCTGCTTAGCATCCCCCTCCAATCACGATCTCACTTGTTAGGCATAATATGACTCTTTTTACGGCAGCCAGCTGTTATCTCTCCGGAACGATGTCCGTCTGTTATTGGGGACTCAGCGGGCGTGCCACTGTTTGTTTGTTTGTTGTTCTTCTTTTCTTGCCTTTTGTATTGCGGCACAATAGCTGAGGTGCTTTTCCACCTCCAGCTAACGTGTAATGATGATGATTTATATTAATAATAAAATTCTCGTCTTTTTCAACTGCACTATTGGTTTTCGTCTTCTCGGTGTCAATCTTAATCGCAGCTGAATCCTCAGGACCAGCAACAGCATATTTGTTGCTTTGGATGAGTTCTGCCATTGTACATTGAACCTGGTAAAATAACCCTTTCAATGGACTGCAGATGCACGTGAACGGATAAATTCCTCCCGGTTGGATTATCGGATAAGCAGTTTGTAATGCTGTCATTGAGTATTGTGGACAGTATTTTGAGCAGCTAATACGCGTTTGACATTCATTCCGATTGTGGCGGTTAGTCATACATTCTTGTGTTCACTATTACAATACTGTCTAACAGGCAAATTTATGCTTCAGAGATCCGTCAGAATATAACTCTGGATGCGGATGAGGGTATCCGGGTGTTCCCCGAACTGCCTGAATTGGCGGCAGACATTTCATTGTCAGGCTAGACGACATAATCAGTGCGATTTATGCGAGCCAGTTACAGATCTAAGGGATTATTGATCAATTAACGCTTGAAAAGGCAGGAGTCGATTAGTTCACAAGAGCTGATCATGTGGTCAGCTCTTACATACTGTTTGCTCGAATCTTCCTCAGTGACGTTCCTTTGCCTTGTCCATCTGGCGCAGTACTGATTTGACCCTCAGCGGTTAATAGGCAGTGGCTAGTTTTAAGTATCGGTTGATTGATTTCTTCCCCGAGTACCAAGACGTCATAAACCCGCATGCTTTTTAACTTGTTAACTTGTCTATGTTTCTGACCTTCTCCAAAAGTTAGTGATACTCGGCGTCCATATGTACCGACATCAAGGAGACGAGGCACAAAAGATCGAACTGGTCCAACACGTTGCTACCAGGCTCATCTCGAGTTTACGTGGTTTTAGGTATGAAGACCGGTGCAAGAAACTAGGACTCTACACCTTGTCCTACCGTCGGGTGCGAGTCGACCTTAATATGACCTACCATATTCTACATCTCGGTGACTTCCAAATGCTAAGACCAATGCTGCAAATACGAGGGCCATGCAGCGCATGCAGACACAGATGCAAACGTGTCGTGCCGGATGAGAAATGTGTACCCTACCCACTGTGCTTCGAACGGAGAGTGGTAAACATTTGGAACAGTTTGCCTGAACATGTGATTGAGGCAACCTCTGTGCAACAGTTCAAAACGTTGTTAGATTTTTATTTTGCCACCATTCGATTCAGAGAACGACTGCACACTTACGAGGACATATCACGTTTGTGAATCCTGAAATATCGTAAGTCGGATATTTTAAATATTACATGAGAACGACAATGATATTCACGGTTGACAGCTGTTTTAACGTTTTTCACCATATTTCGATAGAGTTGTACAGAATCCATTTCTACTTGCTCTATAACACAGTATTCAGTCTCCAAATATGCTCATATAGCTTAGTGCCGAACTTTCTTCCATTCTGGACCACATAGTACTTTATAATTTAGCAGTGGGTTTTGTAAATCACAACGGTTGTTTTTCCTGGTCATTCCGGCCTATACCGCTAAAATGTCCAGCTCGGATAGTTTCCGCCGGCATATAAGCAACTTTGATTCCGAAAGGAAGTGGGATTCTCGCCGCCATCTCAGAGATGCCGTAGACGTATGGTAGAATGATTGCCTTTTATCCGTTTCTTATCTTTGTCCATGCGTCAGGCATTCTATTGAGGTTAAAGAACGTAGAATTAAATCTCTAGGGTACCTATTCCAAGCAAACACTTCAAACAGATGATCCTCCTCCGCTTTCCAAAGCTGTGGTTTTTACAATGTGTCTGAGCTCATTTAAATAGTGTGGTTA